GAAGAAATCACCCGAAGAACCACACTGTAAAGCCAACACTCCTAACTGCTGCCCTCAGCACACCTCAAGGGGAACTCTATCAGTGACCATTGTTCGAGGCTGGGATCTCAAAGGAGATCAGATTTTACAAACTGACAGGTGGGTTGATGCAAAGGTAAAAAACAAAGACCTTATGGAACCTGCTGAGCACATCTTTTATATGGCTCCTCTTTTGTTCACAGCTATGCCAAGATGTACTATGGTTCCATACAACGCAAGACCAAAATGATCGAATCCAATAGACCGAAGTGGGACGCTGAGTTTAATTTGGGCAAGGTCAGTAAACATTATTACAGATTAGCTGAAAAAGCTCAACAACAGACAAACTGATCCATTAACTCTGCTGATGTAGTAGAACTTATAGAGTTAATACCAGCATCTATTTTTGCAAAAAAATCAACATTAAATTACCGGCAGTGAGGAGAATTAGGTTTTTATGCATCAGTCTTGAAAGAAAGCTGATCTATTCTTTGGTGCCACCAAAACTATGTTAGCAAAAATTTCATAATGGATCAAATATAATTTAATATCAGAAATGCATTGTAGTTTCAATTTCAACTAGATGATGTTAAGTTATTGATCATGAACTAATTTGTCCTTCAACTTGTTGCTCACATGAACCAGCAGCCACAATGACAAGAAAAGAGCACCTCCCTTTAGGCCCGACTCGTTCTTGTTTCGGTTCTCAGAACCAACCTGGGTGTCTGTGGACATGCGGCTCCCACACTCACTGCTCTGCTTAACCTGTTGTTGAGACAGGAAGTGCTGACCCTCTCTTATTGCTTTTTCAAATAAATCATCAGCATAAAAACTTGGCTTTCTAAACAACAAATGTACAAAATGAACCTTCAATGTCAAAGTAAAAACTTTTTTCCCAATTCTTTTCTCTGTCCTACTGATTGCTTATTTTTTGTTTTTAAAAACCTGTTTGAAATAAATAAATCAAATCAAATAAGACAAATCAAAGTATAAAATGATATGTAATGCAGACAAACTGCATATTCTGAACTTGGGGAATGTACAATCAACTCCATTTCTAGATCCAAGCCAGGCTGCAGACTCTTTATGTTTTGGGATACTGGGTCAGCACCTGCATGAAAAAGTATTTGGTTTTACTTGATAGACCATGCACATTTCATGGTGTTTATGGTCGAGTACAAATAAAAGTAGAAAAAAATCTGAAAATATTTGAACAGAAACCATTTTACCCATATATTGTGTAAACAGACACAGCCTAGCTGATGTATTTCATATCTTGTGCTGTTGTGTTTTGGCTAACATTACTCTGCATTTATCAACTTTTGAGATGACTGGAAAACATTTTTATTTTCTATATCACCTAAATGATTTGACTATGAATGGGAAAATATGCATCTGAATGATCCTCCATTCAAATTTTCTCATGAAGGTTGACACAAGCCTGGCTCTGAAGATTGAGGTTTGGGATGAAGATCCGAAACATGACGACCTTCTCGTTCACTGTGAGAAGTACCTGAGCCCTGGCACTCACACTTTCACGTGCACAGGAGGTTATGGAAACGTCGAGGTTAAATACACGCTGAAATGTGAGCCATATCTGACTGGAGAAATGTGCAGTCATTATAAACCATCTCCCTTAGAGACAGTAGATTGGTGAGTTTTGGGAATTAAAGCATTTCATCACATAAAATTAACTCACTAAATCTGGTAGAAACTCACAATTTAAACATAATTGCTCAACTTCATTAAAGACCTAGCCACATATGTATTTCTCATACAATGACAAAAAAGTAAAGATTTTGTGTAACATTTAATCACAAGAAATAACTATGCTTTAATATATACAACCAGAAATTGTGTTCCCTTTAATGACAATAAAAATGTTGAAACTGCTACAAGTTGTTGACTTTGTATATTTTTGACAAATCTTGTATTGGTTGTATGAATTATGACATGTGTTACTATAAAAGAGAGAGAGACGTAGTTATGTGTAGTTATGTTATAAGACGTGTCACAAAACTATTTGGTCAATACCTTCTGTATGTAGGAAAGCGAAGAACAAGGGGACAAATTTTTCAACCTGATCATTGTTTCCTTACAGTTTTAGTGTTAAAATCAAGAGGCGCTGATGAAATGTATTAATTGAAATAATCTTTCATCATGTAGTCATGTTTGAAACAGTGAAGAGATCTCACAAGCCAGAATGTTCAA